AAACTGGATATTCATATGCAAAAAAAAGAAAGAAATTGGATCTATATCTTACACCAAATGCAAAAATAAACTCAAAATGAATGAAAGACAAACTTAAGGCTTGAAACTGTAAAAGTCCTATAAGAAAACACAGAGGAGAAGCTCAATGAAATTGGTCTTGGCAATGATGTCCTGGATATGACATCAAAAGCACAGGCAAGAAAAGCAAAAATAGACCAACAAGGCTCCATCCCACCAAGAAGCTTCTGCACAGCCACGGAACAGTAGGAATGAAAGGTGTCCTGTGGCCTGGGAGGAAAGGGCTGCGACCGTGTCTCTGAGGAAGATGACATGCACACTTGCCCTCCAGCTCACTTCTGTTCACTCTTTCTGGACCACTAAAAGGCTCTCACAGCCATGGAAGAAATGTGCCACACAGGATGGACAGCAGGCAGCTCCGCAATGATTCTGCCCTTTGGCTGCAGCTCGAAGCCCCCCTGCTTTCTGCTCGCAGACACAACCACCCTTTCCAGGGGAGAGCACTGCGGAGCCAGCCCAGCACCGCTGTTAGGGCCCTGGGGAGCAGTGGACTTCTCTGCAACTCTGGCTTGGCCCTTTCTGCTCTGGAGAGCTGTCTAATGACAAAACCCAACCAACCAACCAACCAACCAAATGACAGGCAGAAAATAAACAAAGAGCCACTTCCGTCTCTGCAACCAAAGCAGTGATGGTAGAAGTACCGGATAGTTTTGATAAACACTCCCAAATCCCACAGACAGACATTATTTTTCAAGACTTCTTTCTCACCTGAGCAAATTTTTCCTGTGAAACTCTACCTTTCTTTTAATTACACTACAGTGGGTATCTGTCCTTGGGACTTAGCAATTTCTTAACACGCTCCTTCCCTGTATGGAGTTGGGAGACCAAGACTTGACTTAGGACCTTTGAAAATAAGACTCTCTCAAATCTCAGTTTCAGAAGGCACATTCCTCTATTGTTTGATAGACATGCACTTTTATTTCTTTAGACTTAATTGGTGGCTAGATGTCAAAGGAGAGCTATGCCCATTCTTTTTACCTGAATCATTGGGCCCAACAAAATCAGTTCATTAAATTTTTTTGGCACTTTAACAGTGTCATGACCCCCTTGATTTGGTCTCTGTCACAAGACTGTATTAATAAAACCATGAGTCAACATTTGAAGGCTGAGAACAAGTAACATTTTCCAACTCATTTCCAAGTCTCTGAATCATGAACTTTTTCCAATTTTGAACTGGACAAGTCCTTTCTGATCTCAAATTTTTTCATAGACTTTCATCGGGTGTAACCATTAGCAACCAATTCACACTACCCAAGTCTCTCTGCCCATTTACTTGCCTAAAGCTATGGTTTTATTAGGACATATCTGTCTTCCAAGGCACTGCAGATGGCAGCTCTGCCAGTGTTTGCTGCATTCCCACGGGGGCCATCCAGCCACAACCCTGTGAAGGGTCTTTCTGCTCACTGTCCGTCTCTGAAGTCAAGAGCCGCATACTTGAGAGTTCCTGTGAGGGAGCTATTCCTCCTTTGATACCAATTTCTATCAGTTAAGCTGAGCTGTGTTATACCACAGGATCAGACAACCCCCCGAATTAAGCAGCTCAATTTTTATAAAAAGTTTCTCTCTTGCTCACACTACCTGCCCGTAGGTAGTGGGACCCTCTTACCTCAGTTGATCAAGGATGCAGACTGTGAAACCTGTCATCTTCGGGGCATGCTTTAAAGATCCTAGAAGTGGAGAGGGAAGAGAAGGTGAAGTTTCCATCTGGAAGTAAAGAGTCTCCCCCACCCAGTGACTAAGGCCTGAGTCACCTACGAGCAAGGAGGGGCGGTTCTCTCCTCAGGAGAAGGTGAATATTTGTGAACGTGGAGGAGATGTGAAGTAGTAGGAAGTGTTACGGAAGATCTTTTATGAATATTTAACCAGAGAAATGTAATTCGGTGTTAGCGCTGAGTAAAGGAATCTGCATGTGCTGTCTACTCCAGACGAGAGAGAAGAAACTTGACACAGTGTCCAACAGAAAGCCAGTAGGATATGAGGTCATGGAGGACTGTGGGCAGAGGCCACCCAGTGGTAAGATGTCCTGAGTGCTTTGATAGAAACAGGCAGAAACTGCAAGGACGGGGGTGGGGGGGTCCTGTGTGAGCACTGTGGAAGTTTCCTTGGAGAGGTCGGACAATAGACACTGATTATGATCTTGCAGTTTGGGAACTTTGAGAATAAGGAGGAGGTTTTTTTCCAACAGCAGACCATGGAGCTAAGCCCAGCCATTCTGGGGCATAGAGAAAGGAGGACAGCAGAGAAGTGGGTACTTCAAGAGCTGGCAGTGCTGTGGCTCAGAGCCTGGCCCTGCCAGCCTGCAGGAAGGATCTCCATTTGCAGGGGAATCTTTCGTCTTCCTCCTTGTTACTGGTGGTATTTTTCATCAATAGCAGTAGGCGTCCAACAACCTGACTGGATCCGCTCAATCTGTGTCCTTGGACCACCCCCACGCCACCACCTTAGAACCATTCTTCTCTCCTTATAATTACCTCTTAATAACTACATCAATTCTTATATTTTCTCAAGAAACTGAAGTAAATAGAGGTTCATCTCAATTTCTATAACCTTGATTCTGGTTTGTATTAGATCTTGCTGGATTTATTGCAGGAGCCTCCAGAGAATTCTTAATGTGTTCTTACGTAATTCATTCTTGAATCACAAATGAGCTCATGCTGCTCTCCTGTTTTCTCACACGTGATTCTTGCCCTTCCTGATATTTCCCTGGTTCTGCCCCTCTTCCCGGGCCCTCTTGACCCAGCCCTCTGCCACCCCAGCTCTCTCACTTTCTCTTTTCACCAAGCCCTACAATGCCCGCCACCACCCTCTTCTGCCCATCTTGATGCCTCATGCCCTGCCACACTCTGTCGGATTGCAGCTCTCCAAGAAGGAACTCCCTTGCTTCTCTTCCTGACTCCCCAGCATCCTGCTCCCCACCTCCCCTGGGCCTTTGTGGGTGCTGCTACCTCTGTCCTGACGGTTCTGTCGGCCCCCAGCTCACAGCTCGGCCCCCAGCTCTTAGCTCTCTGTGGATCTCTTCCTTCAAGGGGACTTCCCTCTCACCCCACTAAAGTGGTTTTCTTTTCCTTCTTTCTTAAAACAGAGCTATTTTTCATTCATTCAGTTAGCACCACTTGTCAATCTTCTCTGGTTGGCTGCTGTTCACCGCCGCCGTGGCTGCGTCGGTTTTGTTTGGGGCTTGTGCCTCATTAAGATATATTCTCCAAGGCAGAGCCTGCCTACAGCATTTTGCCCTCAATATTGAGTACACAGCCTGGCACACAATAAATATTTATTGAATAAATGACACCTAGGAACATAGCCCAAGGCCAAGGGTGGCCCCGGGTTTGCCATCTGTGCCAATCAAATTAACATGCTGGTGCAGTTTCAAGACTGAAATACGTTGAATGCAGGTGCTGGGAACATAAAGAGGATTTCCTTTCTGCTCCTCCTTGAGCTCACATCCTGGTTTTAGAGGTTATCTGCAGGATTGAAACGTACCTCATACTGGCAAAAGTGAAGCTTCAAGTTAATAAATGTCCTGAAATCCTTTATGCTACTCAATAAGTTTGAGAAGACTTCTATTTAGCATGGCAGATCTTTTTCACTCATCTCATCCAAATACTCACAAAGATAAAGTAAAACCTATCAACACAGGATGTTAAAGATAAAAATGGACCACAGATTCAATAAGGGACAATATTGCTTTTAAAAATACATTCTATTGTGTGTAGGTACTGTGAAATGTATTCTTGGACTAAACATCTCACTTTCTATCCTGCACGTCAAAATAAATCAGCTGGCTCCAAAAATGCTAGGAAAAGACTTCTGAATACTTTTCTGAAGGATCTCAGAATTTGCACTGACTACAAAATGAGCCAAGATACAACCCAGCAAAGAAAAATAAGTAAACAAAACCAAATAATGATAAACACAGGCCCAGACCCTCTTACTGAAATGATGTGTCATCTGCATCAACCACAGTCCCACACTTGCACTGGCCCTCATCTCTGCTTCCATGCAGACCTGCAGCCTACAGAATGGGAGGTGCGAAGGGAGCTTGCAGACCAGTGTGGCATCTGGCCTTGCTGACCCTTCAGGAAGACTGCTTACTTTTTAATTTGAGAAACTAGGAAGTGGCCCAGAACAGCTCATAGGACAATGTGCACAATTTGTATTGACTTTTCTCTAAAACTCAGCCCAAAAGAAATGGCAGACTGTTCCTAGCTGCACCATGGTCGGAGAAACTGGCCAACCAGATAATTCAAATCCAAGACAGTAGAATAAAACAGGAATACTTCCACTTAACATAAACTTAGGGAGTTCTGAGCACTTAGATCCAAAGTTAGAAAGACCTATGAAAGACGTAAGTTGGAAGTGCCCGAGAATATTAATCCTAGGGTGACTACCATGCTTGGAAAGGTGGCTTTTCCAATCAAGGGTGAGAAATACGGCAGATAGCTACAAAATTCTACCTGATGAGAGCAAAAGGAATGTGTAAACTGAATAAAGAAAAAACAAATAAAAATAAGATACCTCTTATTACAACAGATAGAACAGTGTGCTGCTAGTTACATACAGCATTAAAGTCTTACATTAAAGTACCCCGTTCGACACAGATATAAAAAATATAGATATAAAATGGATATTTATTTGAGAAATTTGAGAAATAAGATTACTCCAAATAATACAAAAATAAACTCAAAACTAATAAAACTAATCAAAATATAGAAAATAACAAATGGCTAAGAAATTGTAAGAACAGACTGTAGCACGTAAGTGCAGAAAACACTGAAGCCATGAGGTCCATGCACTGCTAGGCCGGGAAGCGCAGAGCCCGAGAGGTAGCCCGATCAGGTTTAGATGTTGCTTGTGCTGGATGGATAATTTTCTGAATACTTTTAGGCTTTCAAAAATAGTAGCAAGAATGAGTAGAATGCTAATAAGAATGATACTAGGGATTTATTATTTTTCAACATTAAAAAAGGATAGATTCCATAATATTTAATAAGTTCTGGAGTACAAGTTCATGGACTGTTACCCAATTCATTTTACAAACTTTCAAAACACTGCAATCAATCAAAATTTGAAAAGGCAACATGTAAAAACAACAATTTTACACTGGGAGTTATACTAGGTCATTGAGTTCAATATTATGCCACTTTAAGACATGCAACAGCACATTCACTCATCATTAATTTAATATCTATCCAAGATCTTGTCTTTGACATGTCTACTGATCATAATTCTGAATTATGTTTTAGAACAAGCACCGTATCATGTGAGTGTCATGTTTTGGTTCCTTGAAAGTGAAAGTGAATTTGGAGACATTTGAGAAGCAATCTAGTCCAGAAGCATCAGGATGCAGTGTGTGGGGTTTGCTGGAAGGAGCGTGGAGATGTCAGTGTTGCTGCAGGCTCTGGAGCAGGTCCTGGTAAGCAGTGAATGCACACGTGGTTTCAGCCAGTGTAGACTGAACAACCAATAGTGAGCCATCGTGGGAAGATGGCGCATGCGTGCGGCCCGGGTTCGATCCTCAGCACCACATACAAACAAAGATGTTGTGTCCCCTGAAAACTAAAAAATAAACATTAAAAAAAAATTTTTAAAAAAAGAGAGCTCAGCCGAGCCCTGGAGGGAAGGCTGGCGTCAAGACACTCTGCAGGGGGTCTGACTACAGACATCCCAGCCCTGCAGCCCCTCTGGCCACGGCCTGAAGTGTGGACACTGTGGATGCTGACAGCCAGAGACAGAGAAAGGCCAACCAGGAATCTGAACAACCCTTGCCTTCTCAGGTCAGCCAAGAGAGGATCAGAGTGAAAAGAAAGGGGGAAAGGGACAGAAGTGACCGGGGGCTCTCAGTCCACCCCCAGCTGCCTTTTCACCACTCACTCCGGAGCCTGGGAAACCCTCACCCAGGGATGACTGGGAGGAGATGGAAGCAGAAGAAGAGCAGAAAAATGAACTACCTAGCTGTAAATTTATGCATAACTAATTAAAACAAATAAAATTTTAAAAAGATATATATAAAAACATGAAAACAAACAAAAATATTTCTATGATCTGTAAAATAAACATTCACACACAGAGCGATACTGTTTGGAACATGAAAATTGCATAATTGCACAACTTCTATAATAAACCCTGAATTTCTTCTCTAATGACTTTATGGATTAAAGTAAGTCCAGTGAACTACCTAATGGGAGAAGTGACTGTGAGGACAAGGCACCCCACAAGCTGCCATTCTTGCCAACAAAAATAGAGGTGGGAAGAAAATGCAAAGATTAAATTAAAAATGAGTTGCTGATGTTACAGGAGAAGGGAAAGAAGCGTGCTGTGAAACGGTCCCCTAGACCCTGCCTGGAAGCCACATCTGTCCTGACAATTCAGACAAGCTGATGAATTACCTTTTTATTTTCAGTCTTTAAGCAGAATTGAGTGGTGTGTCCATCTGTGCTTTGTGGTTGAAAGTGGATGATCATAACTAGCTGACGAGAGCGTAAAGGTGCAGCCCGGGCTCTCTGGTAGCACACAGTTTTCAGCAATGGAAATGTCCCCTTCTGTTTTGCTTGGTGTTGGGGTCACCAAATACGACCTGTGAGCATGTGAAGTATGGCTAGTGCAGTCAAGGTCTGACTTCTATTTTATTTCATTTTAGTGAAGTTAAGTGTGACTCGTGTAGACACTGGCTCCTGCTTCGGATGGTGCAGTCCTATGATGATTATCTGTGCAAATTAAAGTAAGAAAGGACTGTTTTGCAATACAAATTAAAAATATCTTTGGCAACATCTTACTTCATGTTAGAGAGCATGCCCTGGGAAAATAATTCTTTCACTTAACTGGAAAAGGCACAAATTGGTGCAAATTTATAAACTATCCTTAAAATGAATCTTCAATTTGTATCAAATTCATAACTTCAGCCCAGTAATTCCAGAAACTTCCAGGTAGCTATTCCACCAAAGTAGTCAAACATGTAGGTAGTAATTTGTATATGAAAACTATTACACTTGTTATTTTAAAAAATTTAAATATATAAATGAATAATAGAAAGGATTGCAATTAAATAAGAAACAATAGAAATAAAGAAAATATGGGTACTTTGAATTTAGCTATTATGCCTGTATTTAAAGTCAAATTTGATATAATTAATCATTAAATTGCAGAATATTTACCATGTAATATATATATATATATATATATATATATATATTACATGGTAAATATATATATATTTTTTTTTTTTCAGGGGGTTATGGATTGAACTCAGGGACACTCAACCACTGAGCCACATCCCCAGCCTAGTTTGTATTTTATTTTGAGACAGGGTCTCACGGAGTTGCTTAGTGCCTCACTTTTGCTGAGGCTGGTTTTGAACTCACGATCCTCCTATCTCAGTGTCCTGAGCTTCTGGAATTACAGGTGTGCACCACTGTGCCTGACCACTTAATATATTTTTGAAGATACAATTATCTGTCTATATAGAGATACACCTTCATAACATATAAACTATTTAATATAATATTAAATGTAACTATATATGATTATATATCACATTAATATAATAAATCAATGTGTTGTTACATTGTATATTAATGTATACGATATTCTAATATTATATATTTTATTACTATATCAATTATTATATTAATGTAGTTTTATATATTAGCTAAAATATTGTATTACTATATTTTTACCATATATTTTACTAATATAATGAAATTTATTACATTATATATGTAAAATATTATAAATATATTTAGCCAATAATACTAATATCTACTGATTTTTCAAAATAATTTGGTATAATATGGAATAAAAACACTCCCCTTACATTTATTCTTGTTTTACATTTAAGAAATTTTAATAAAAAGAATTAAATTTATAAATAAAATCAGTTCTCAAATTTTAACACCAGCCTATAATATACAATATATACATAATATATAACAATATACAGCTCTTTTACTCTTTAGTAGATTGAAAAGGTAAAGCCCAGTATAATTAAGTTACTTTGATCAAGATCATAATGTTTCAAATAGTCACTCCAGAAAGAGAACTCTGCTGTTGTGTTTGTTGTTAAGTGATGTTCTCTCTAATAAGGTCATAGAGACCTCCTGAGTTCGAGTCTCCTGTCTGATAAGCCACCATCACCATCATCTAGTAATAATCAACCTACTCAAAAATAAACTGCACTGGCAATTTGCAGAGTTGAGTTCCTTTGTCAGCAGAAAGTGTGCTTTCTGCTTTCATGTCTTTGGAGAGATTTTCAAGTAGTCACTCAGAATATGTCCAGAAGCATGGCGTCCGTCCATCTTGTCTGTACACAACTGCTCCGAGAGTAAAATGAAATTTTTAGGTAGATGCACACACAAGCTGAGACGTGTTTAAAGGCTTGCATGATTCTGTTGTTGTGGATAAGGTTAGGAGAGATGACGAAGAGCAGATGGCATGACCTTGCCCCTGACAAAGAGCACACCCTCCAGACCACCTGCCTGAGGTCACACAGCAATGGTGGCAGGAAAGACACTGGCACCATTGCTTCCAGGTCCCTGCCTGATATTTGTTGCTGAAATCCACTGACAGGAGCAAAGGCAAAACGATCACCTTTGCGGAGTCTCCAGGAAATGCAGTCTCAATCAGCTAATTAGGAACACGTCTTCAATGGATTCCATTTCCTCAGTTGTGCTGCAGCCTGCCTTTTGTTTGAGAGGGAAGACACTGAAAGCTTCTAATTGGACTCTCAAGTTCACAATCCAAAACCAGTGAGCGATGTTAATAGTTTTGTGCTCACTCTCTTTTCTACCAGGCACACAAAGCAGAGCACTTTTTATATCTTGGGATTGAATGTCCTCTGAAATAACAGTGGTAATACTGATTTGTCAGATCTGTGCGGTGCTTTGCATCATCCCATTCTGGGGTGCTTTGTTTTGCAGCAATAGAGGGCTAGAGCAGAAAGTGGTCTGGAAATAGGGAGGGCTGTGACAAAGCCCTGGAGCATGTGGCACTGGCTTCAGGAAGGTGCAGCTGCAGAGGCTGCCAGGGCACTGAGGAGCTCATTACTGGGGGCTGGAAGGCAGCGATAAAACCAGTACCGGGGGCTTAAAAGATGGCGACCCGTGTTTTATAGTAAGAACAAGTGGCGAGACTGCAGAAGATAGAAAATGAACCAAATTAACCTAGGTATGCAGATAAGGTTTCTAGGCAGAATATGGAAAGTGCCAATTGGCTTCTGTTAGCTCCATATGATTAGATATGGGAGGATGAAAGTGAGCTAAAGAAAGATCTACTCACTATGCAAGCAGAATTTCCAATCCAGACTTATTGGGTTGGAAAATAAAACTGTTACATTTCTAGGCTCTCTAGCTGGCAAAAGACTCTCAAAGTAAGAAATGGCCTCAGGGAAAAGAGGAAAATAAGGATGTGGTCACAGATCCTGTGTGAAGACCCTGGAAGAACTCCGCTGAGCATGTTGCCTGGGCTAGAAAGGAGCACCTCTAAGAGGACTTGTGCGTGTCACCTTCCTGTGGCTGGGCACTTGGCCTGTGGTTCTCTCAAAAGGAATCATGAGGGTGGCTTTTGAAATAGAGGGTGACTGTTGGGTTTGCAGAAGGGGCTGTGTCCGTTTGGGCTAACAGGGGGCAGATGTCATTCAAAAAGAAAAGTGACTGGTGGGGCTCTCAACTTCCTGCAGTGGTCAGGAGGCAGGAACGCAGCTCAGGGGACAACATGGCCTATTTCTAAGGGGCGGGGGTGATGTTTTGGAAAGAAAATTTCCAGAGGGTGGAACAAAGAAACATGTAAAGCCCTGAATTAGAGAACTACAGTTGTGTTTTAAGGAACAGAACTGGGCCTAAGCAAGAGGATTTCCTGGGCCCAGCTGAACAGGGTCCTTTTACCAACAAGTGATCACCTGGCTTTCTAAACTGCCATGGACCAGTGACTTCTATGTGCATCATGTCCCCTCCCCTTTATAATAGCTGTCCTGGTCCTCTCACTGCCACATATAGAAACAGATAATGACCTTTAGTTCACTCATCTCTGGATTAAGGAGAGAGGCATCCACAACCTAATCTATATCTGTGTCTGATTAGATCATGAGATATGAACTTGGAGCTCTCTGTTGTGGTCTGATGAGGTCTTAGGGGTCTTGTTAAGACCTGAGTGTGTTTGCAAGTGGAGGGTCATGTATTGATGCGGCCAGAGACGGGAGTGTCCGTCATTATATTAAAGCCACTAGATGTGCACATCTCCCATGACCCATGTTCTGATTGACCATCTCTCAAACTGTCTCTGGGGTCAGCCATGGAGCTTGTTCTGGCCAATGGCATGAGCAAATATGAGGCCAGAAAATGACCACTAACCTGCTACTGTGATTGGGATCTTACCATCCTGGACACAGCTGATCCTGTTTGAGGAAGCCACATGCAAACAAGCCCTTGGAAATGAAGACCCAGGAACGAGACCCAGCCACCCACTGAGCCCCGTCTGCAGCTATGCCCCGCTGGGTGCCAGCATGAGGAATGGCTCATGTGCCTCCAGCTGGAGGGTGTCAGCCCACAGGAGCCTCATGAGAGGTGATAAGTCATCCTTTAAGTACCAGGATCTGTGAGTTTGCTACTTAGCAAAAAGCCACAGGAACGGGCTTTGCAAAGGCAACTAATGAAATGAGAATGTGAGCAACATCTTCAAAACTCAGCAGAGGAAGAGTTACTTTTCACCTGTATCTAATTTGCACCCAAACCCTCAGCTAAGTAAAGGGGTACAATAATGCCTTCAGATGAGCAAGGTCTCAAGATTTACTTCCTCTGGAATCTGTGTTAGAAGATGAACTCCAGTAAATGCGGAATTACATTGAGAAAGAGGAAGAGATGGATTCCAGAAAGATACATCTAACTCAGAAGACAAAAACATGTGAATAAGATAATTCCCAGGCTGGCTGTAAAGGAAACTCCCATGGGAACAGCTCCACAGGGGCCCAGCTCCTTAGAGGAGGGAGACAGAAAACTCCCGATAGATGTCTGCAAGAAAAAAAAATAAATAACCCAGCATGTGAAGAGCCGACTTTTCCTTCTATTAGGGAGGCAGTGGGTGCATTGATTATGACTCCTTAGAAATCTAAATGGATATAAAGAGACACAGCATTAATTCCAGGGAGAAAAGTCGACAAGAAAGAAACTGATTGTCATGATGGATGGAAGCTGGCGCTGCTTTGGGAAAGGGAAAGTGGACGTGTGTCTGTGTGTGCTCACGTGCCTCTGTGTGGCAGCAGCAGGTGAGAGGTGTGAGAAGCCACATCTGCACCTTACACTTCAGGACTCATCAGATACTGTCCACCAAGGAAACCCAAGAAACAAAGCATGTGGATGCTCTATAGCACTGCATGGTGACCACAGGACAAACCAGCCGGAAGAGGTGGCAGGAGCCACCTCTGAGTGGTGGGCATGGAGGTGGGAGAAGTGGGGCTACCTGCTGTCTCTGTGGCAGACATCACAGAGCTCCTTGATACCATGCGCTTGGACCTCTTTGAATACATTGAAAGAAAATCTGTGATTGTGATTCAAATTCACAATTGCTAAAGCTGGTGATTCTTGCTTCTCTGGACTAGCTGCCAGGCCAGGGAGGCTTTGTGAGGAAAGATAAGAAATAATGGAAGGGTAGAGTGTGACTCAGAAAGCAGAAACCATGGGAGGGGTGGAAAGAAGCGCATCTAACTCTACAAATCCATTCCCAGAATGTCCAGGCAGAGGAGATCGGAGCAGGACACACGCCTTCCGGGACTGAAGAATTCAGGTGGACAGTGGGAGAGACAGATTCTGAAACTGACACTGTCCCTTTGCACAGCTTTTAGCAGGAGCCCTGAAGTCAAGGTTACACATAACACAATGAGCTGTGCAGAAGGGGACAATCAAAATTTAACTATTGTGGGGGGAAGATGAGAAGTCTTGAAAGCACCAGGGACAGGGGAGTGAGGAGGGAGAAGCCAAGAGATTAACAAGGATAGTTACCCATGGCGCCAGGGTCCAGGTGAGGAGTGGAGGAGGACAGCGGCCACTGCCACACAGGCTGTCTCCTGGTTTGCAATCTCTGTTACGAAATGAGATCATTTCAGTTAAATAACTGTATGTGGCATAATCATGTGCTGCCACCCCTTCATTTTCGAAATTGCTGTCCCCAGGACAGAGGTCAGAGAACAGAAAGAACATCTGCTGCAAAATAAATCAGAGATGGTCTGGTTCATTGCTCCTGCATCTGTCAGAATGTGCCCTGGTTTCTGCAGTCTCCTCCCAGGGCAGCAGCCTACCTGCTTCCTGGGAAGGTCGTCCTTCTCTCAGGTGTCTATAGAGCATGCCTTTGCTGATCCGCATAGCCAACAAGCACCACTGACCACCTACCTCTCGTGGGGATGTTATTTAAGGAGATAAACGAGAAATGAGTAAAGAAGTGGCATGCAGGGAGCTCAGGTGTCCGGGAGCTGCTCTGGAAACCACCCAGAACCTCAGACACCTGGGATGGAGCGGTCCAGGAAGGCTGCTCTGTGGAGAAGAGAGCCCATGCCAACGAAGAAGAATGCCATGAAGGGACCACCCGGTAATGATCATGGGGAGAAGGAATTTTTTTTGGCGAACAAATTTGGAAAAAAAAAAAAAACACCAGGGTGGCCACAGAGATGTAAGTTGGGATTGGAGAGTTCACGCAGGCAGCGTGTGCTCGAGTCAGGATGAGAGAGCGCCAGAGTCCTGCCTTGACTCATCCTTGTGTCTTGAAGTCACTTCACATGTCCTATTCAGACGTACTGATCCCCATATTGTCCTTGTTAATAAGCATGGCCACTCAGTTGTTCAAGTCTGTCTTCTGCATCCTCAATTACTCCCTTTTATTTAGCCCCAAATCAAAGTTTTGACCAAATTTAATTGACCCTCTACCAAAGCACGTGCTATTACCTACTGACATCACTCTTCATACCTCCATCCAAGATTCCTCCCCTCTTCGTGTCTTGCTACAATTTACTCTTCAGGTAGCGATGAGGGCAAGCTTATATGACAATAATCAATCCATGTCATTTTCTTGATGACAGCTGCCCAATGATGACTCAATAACAGTCTGTAAGATAGGAAGCAATCATATAAATTTGGTTAAATGAAGTGCTAGAGATCATGCAAATAATTTACTCATTCAATAATATTTATCCACTTCTTACTACTACTAGGAATATAATAGTAAGCAAAAATAAATAGATGATTTTTATAGCCTTGACATCAGAGAGGTTTGAGCAGAGGGGAAGAGAGACATTTCAGATAGAAATAAAAAATGAATTGTGATAAATGTTGTGAAGAAAAAGAACAGTGCTGTAGGGCTGGGGTTGTGGCTCAGTGGTAGAGTACTTGCCTAGCAGGCATGAGGCTCTGGGTTGGATCCTCAGAACCACATAAAAATAAATAAATAAAATAAATGCATCGTGTCTGACGACAACTAAAAAATATTTTTTTTTAAAAAAAAGAGAGCAGTGCTGGGAGAGAGAACAATGGAAGCCTAGTTTGGACTTAGGGGACAGAGGGGTCCTTTTTGAGGAAGGAATGCCTGAGCTGCTTCTGGAAGATGAACCGTAGGGAGGCAAAGAATCTGGGCCTGAGATGGGAAAGAGCTTGCTGTGTTTGAAGGAGGGAGAGCCCAAAGGAATGGACGGTAAGTGGAGGCTGTGGAGATGGATGGTAGCCGTCCACACTGCTCTCCACTCTGGGATGGGGGAGTTTGGGTCTCACTGGAAGTAGAATGGGAAATTACTCAGCCGCTAAGAGCAGGACATTATTTTACTTAAGTTTCCAAATCTGACTGAATTCCGGGTAAAATACTGTCTAATGGCAGAGTGGCGACAGAAGCAGGAAGACATTTTAGGAGGCCCTTGCAAATGTTTAAGAAGATGTTGATGGACTTGAATGGAGACTGTGTAGATGGAAAGACAAAGGCAGGTTGGGACTTGAGAATGAGTCAGTCATGGAGATGAGGAAGAGTTGACAAAGAAGTTCCAGAGCTAGGTCTGGTGGGAATTCCAGTCCCAGCCTCCTCATGTCCATACCTATGGTCCTAACGTGAGTTCCTAGTCCTTTTCTGTTGTTATACCAAAAGCTGGGTGAATTATAAAGAATCGAATTTACTTTAGCTCACGGTTTTGAAAAGCATGGCACCCGCATTTTGTGAAAGCCATCTTGGTGCATTATAACATGGCAGAGGGTGCCACGTGGCAAGGCAGAGCCAGCACACCAGAGAGAGCCCACTTTTATAACTGAGCCATGCTTTAACAACCCATTACTCCAACCACGAGGGCACAACGTTCAGGACCCAAGCACCCCCACAGGTCCTATCTCCAAATATCACTAACATACAAATTTGAAGATTGGGTTCTCTGATTCTTTTATACTTTCTTGTCTTCTTTGGCTTGATGGAGAATTTGTACCATTCCAATTTTTGCCTCTTTAACAATTTGGATATCTAGAAATTACCTGATGCGCTCTCCACTTATCAAAGGTTAATGTTAATACTTTCCTCTATCATCTCTTAGCCAGTGACTTTTAAATACAGTGTGCATAACTATTTTATGTATAACTAATTTGCAGTTTGTACCTGCATCCCATATCTGTAGGACTGCATTTCTGTTTTTCTCTCCTTCTCATGCACTATAGCTTGTCTTATAATGGGCCTGTTGATTTTCATTTGCTGACAATAATACTTACAGTATTTTTAGGAATAATGGGAGGTATGTGAAAACAATATTTCTTACCAGAAGACTTCCTTTTCTATTAGTGTATAGAAACATTCCAAAATCACTTTAATTTCAAATTTCACGTTTGAGACACAAACCCAAGCTGGGACCCACACAAGGACCAATGAACCCCAGGTCTAACCTGTGGTTGTGGCCGCTTTGGATGTAGCTGACAGTGTGGGTGCACGTCAGGCAGGTGTGGGCTGTTTGTAAATTCCTCCAGCCCATCAACTCAGCTTCTCTGCTGTTTCTTCTCTGTTTTCATGTGGTGCTGAGGATCAATCCCAGGGTCTCCACATGCTAGGCCAGCACCCTACCACCGAGCCCCAGCCCCAGCCCCAGCCCCAGGCCCCTGCTGCTTCTTCTTAGTTAGCAAGTGTTCTTCAGGAAAAGCACATTTGAATGTGATTCACTGCTTTAAAGTATCATCTTCTCTTATATTACATATCAATGACCACTACTATCTGTTAGTTCTTTGATTTCTTTTTTAGGATTTTCTCATATTTAATCCAAAATTTTTGCTATTTCTATCCTCTAGGAAGGGATTGTAAATTAATTACCTAGTTTGGTATTTCTAGAACTGAACTCTTAAAGTCAATAATAAAGAATAAAAAGGTCAGTAAAAAAATTTTCCATGAAGATCTTTTATTAGATTTGTTCCTTGTGTCTAATAAAATATTTGCTGATTTTGCCACTATTAAGATCAGTAAATTTTTTTCATAGTATTATTTATTTTTGCTGCATAAGATAAACAACAACAAAAATTGTCTTTTCATCAAGTAACTAAGTATCCAGTGACCTTGCTAATATACCACTACTTCTTACAAGTTTTTGTGAATGTCATGTGTAGGCAACTTTATTATATGCAAATAAGAATTTTTACTACTGCTTTGCTGTTTTGTTAGATTACTTATTTATTTTATTGTTATTGTAATGCATTTTCTGGTAGCTGGAGAAATTTTTGAAAAATTAGGGTTCATGATATGAGAAACTCCACCTTTTCTTAAGTTTAATGTAAATTACTCTAAATTCATCAATAAAAATGATATAAATTTTTGATAGATGCCTTTTCTCAGATGCCTCTTGTATTTATAGTTTCTTAAGAATTTGAGAATTTGAAAATGCTGACTGAATTTCTTGAATCTTTTCTGCATCTATTAGTATGATTATATACTTTAAATCATGAATGTGTTACATCAGGCCAATGGATAATTGGCTCCTGAGCCACGAATGCTTTACTTAGCTAAACCCTATTGCATCCTGTGTATGCTTGGCTAGGTGGAATAGTGAAGTTGTATTTAGAATTTTTACCCCATTTTTCATAGACAAAATTGGTTACTTTCTTTCCTCATGAAAACAATTAGAACTGATCTAATTACAGGCAAAGCCAGGAACTTCCCTATTCTTTTATGTTTCTTGTCAAGTTAAAAGAGCTTACTGAGAAAGCAGATTGTGTGAGTGTGTGTGTGTGTGTGTGTGTGTCTGAAGGGCCCAGGCTTTGTTAAGAAACCCACGTGGTTCACAGGGAAAGAGTCAGATGGGAACCCCTTTCAAACTGGGGTTACCTCCTTTCAGAAAAGCATGAGGTTTATAGACATTTATAATTCCCCCTACGTCACAGTTTGCATCCTAGATGTCCTTCCAGGCCAGGTGTCCAGGCTTCAGCCTGAGGGGGTATTGGGAGGTGTGGAACTTTCAGAAGATGGTCGGTCAGTGCAGGGATGGAAGTCCAGGAGCCTGGAGCCTGAGCCCAATAGTTCCACCTGATTTCCCGGAACAGACCAGCCTGTGCCGAGAGTCTGCCAGGCAGGTGGCCAGTGTCACAGCCTGGGCACTGTCACAAATGCCATGCAGGGAGGAGAAGAAAGGCAGTGGATGAAGGCCAGAGAACGCTGGCCCTGCACCCACCCCTCCACACTTGGTTTCTTCAGCATTTGGGCCTCTGCCAGGCCCCCACCCTCACATAAACCACAGTGACTGCCCAAGCATGTGCACCTACATGAACCCCATGTGTCGAGAGTCCAGTGAATTTCAACTTTTGTTAAATGACTCATAAACATTTGTCTCACAGAGGAAAAGACTGAGGTTCACAGAGGCCAATGGTCTTGTCCAAGGTCATCTAACTAAAACTTATATAGCCAGGATTTAGACCTAAACTTGTGGGTTCCAAGGTCACGTTCTAACCTTTGATAGGATTACAGCTGCAATAACTGATTTTCCACCAATTTCATAAATTGAGGAGCTGCCATACAGAAAGCCATACAGGAAGAAAAAGTACAGGAAATTTCTCTGTAACAGAATTTAAAAATTAAAAGCATAACA